CTGTGTGAACTAAACGAAGTGTTATAACTAGGCAGAGCTCTATCTGATGACTAAGCTATGTTGTGCTCATGTCGGGTTTTATCATCCCCAAGCTCACCTCTGGATTTGAGTGGTGCAAACTTAGATTTTGGGTACAAGCAGCTGAAATGAACTTTCTGAGACGAATCATTGGGCTCGCGCGTCTCGACATGGTCCAGAGTTTGGATATTTGGTGCAAACCTGGGTGTCCATCCGCAGTTTCTCCAAACAATGCGATAGTTTGGGCATGTTTTGTGAAAGCTTCAGGATAAGAAGACACATTTTATGCAGGTTCGATCGACCGAAGACTTTGGGGACGGCCAAGAATGACCTGGGTCAAATGTCTCGAAAGACTTTGCTCCAGACTTGAGCTACCTTCTGCCGAAACTGAAATGCTGGCTCAGAATTGGGAACGCGGAAGACACTCTCTGAGGCGCATGCCTACGCGATACATAGGTACAAGCAGTCACCGAAACTGAGTGACTATCTCGCCAACGATTTTAGAGTTGCCCATTCACATAACAATTGTTGTTGGTCGAAAACAGTAGTCTTTTGCGTGTTATTTCATAAAATTGGTAATCCGTGCAATTTCTGATCTTCCTGATAAATTAGATATTCAGCTGGTGTCTTCGTTTGTCTGAAGAAAAAATTTAAGTACATTGTAGAAATTAACGAAGCACTGATCTTTATTGGCGACATGAAAACGAACATAATGCAAATAATAATACGATACGTTCAGAAACAGATGTGCGGCCAAAACATCTTCGTTTTCCGCTGTGAGGATCTCAGCATCATCGCTCGTCCTACTGAACGACTGATGATCTATTATATGATGGTACAAATTAACATTGTGCTCATGCTCGAAACCATGCATGGCAGATTCAGAAAATTCACGAACATGGAGTAAGCATCGTTGAGCAAATTCTGTTTAAAAGGAGCGACTGAGATAACATAAATATACTGCATCGTAACAATCGAAACTTTTAAAACTGTGCTAATGATATAAATTTACATATTACACCTACGGATTTTTTAAGACGTGCGCTTTGACAAGTTCTACGCGATTTTAGCATAAAGAGTATGACCGTAAACGCTTCGTAGCTGCATTTAGCACCATTTGCGTAAATAGAGCCAGAACCGTTATCAATCGTCTACAACCATATGTGTACCAAAATTTCTGCCCGTGCTGAGTATAGTAATCAATTTTCAGAAATGCGTGTACCTACGATATGTGGCGCTATTCACGAGGAAGATCACATCTGAAAAAGCAAGTTGACAACTTGAAGAACCGCTAACTTAAAGTGTTAAAAATCGTAGGCAGGACCTGATTAGTGCCTTTAAATTGTGGATTATATTGGACTACGACTGTGTGAGAGCCTCAAGAAAGGTCTGGTTCGTTCCAAGTAAGAGATCGAAGATTGTCAGTGATGGCCTAGTATCATAACCTCATGATTTATTGGCCTTTACAATTATCGGTAATCGTCCGATTCCTCATTCCATTGTGTTTTGCATAAAATGTACTGTTTTCATATCTTCAGTAGAAAAATTGGCCATGTCGCCCGAAGTAAAACATTTTCTCCCGCCTTGCTTAATAAATCTTCCACGCTGTTGACTTAACTAGTTGAGAGCATGATGCCGGATTTTAATACCAAACTCGGGTATTTATATCTCTAAATTTACATGATTTCACAGATGATATCAGCATCTCGTTTTTATTTGTAGTCGTTCTCTCATTATCAGCTTTGCCTCCAATAAATTTTACCTGAAGTCCCCTAAACGGAAAACGATATTGGCGGACAAGTTGCTGATCAATGATCAAGTAAATCATTATACAAATGTAGGTAGGAAGCAGTTCCACGATCTTAGGAGCTCATCAGAATTTTCAAGTAGAGGAATGCTCCGTTGTAGCGATCTCTGTCTGACGATTAACAGCATGCCCCTTACTTGTCCCTAGAACCCTCTGTCGCAATGAAAGATAGTACAGTTATAGCTACTTTTCCTTTTTTTTTAAACAAAGCTTAATCATTGTTCACAATACCGTTGCAGCTGAATGGAACCCCAACCAGTAAGCAAGAAATGTACACTAATAGCTGAAGTCCATCCAATGAAGTAGACGAATGAGGTTGCTTGGAATCAAACAAAGCAATATGGTTACGATTTGAACACAACATCACAGTTTACTACAGCAACTAAAATCCTCAGTAGACTAAATATTACAGTATTTGAGAGCGTGATTTGGCTGCTAAAAATGCTTTTTGCATACAGTGGTAGAATCAATTACAGTAAATTTTCGTTGCCTATTTTTATCGGTAGTAGTAAATGTAAAATTAAGCGAAAATGAATGAATTTGTTTACTCAAAGAAACTCCTCAGTTTTAAATATGCGTAAAACCGATATCGCAGAAATTATCGATCGTCGGAATGGTGAATCCAGTTCCGACGACATCCAACCGGAAATAGGCCTGTGGAAGTAATTACTGACATCATTATTGTGCGATCTAAATACCAAATAGCAGAAGTTTCTTAGTTGTGTTCAGATATACTTCCATTGCAGTAATCTGCTAATAGCGACCATAGACCATTAGAAACAACAGCATTATGCGAATACGCTACATAAGTACAAAAAGGAAACAGGAAATTTTTATTTTTATCGGCTGCATCAAAATTAGCAACCTACTTAATAAAGCTATTTTTGCAAAGTACCCATGTAACTACTGTTAGATTCAGACGCCGAAAATGCTTAGACAAATATCGTGTAAGTTTAATATTGCGACATTGTGATATTTAATATTGTAATATTGTGTAAGCGTAAGTTTCTGTAATTGTAATCAGAAAACAACATAATAATACCTTTTAGTCCTGTCTAATGTACGGTAGCTACAATCAGTAGTATTTACGCGGGAAATAATGTTATCTCTTTCGTAACGTTTGAAGGTTGCTGCGTTGTAGTGCTTTTTTCGTTTATGCTGTCGTTGGTAACCGCTGAAAACAGTTGATTTTCGGGTTTTGCCTGCACTGGTATAATTTTGTTTAACTATTTCCAGAATGGCGTCTAGATTTGCGTTTTTTGAGACTAAACTCGTATTCTGATTTTTATTTTGCTTTCTTCTTATTTTTTTGCCATTATCTAACTGAATGATGCAACTCTAACTCGCCTGATTTATAGCAGTAATAAATCACAATTCATGGATTCCAAAATTCTGCTTTTGGGACCAACAGCGCTGGTATCGAACGATAGAGAATTTCGTTTGTTAGTGGTCATACTGAAAAAAGCAGCATCAAACAGTTTATTAATACACAACGTAAAAACTGTGTTGCCAGTTAGATGACTGATCACTACCATCGCTTTGGCTCGTGTTTCACGAACCTTCTTCAAGTAAAGGTTGGTAAAGATTTGACAGTTTTTGTTTTGTAGGTTTCCAGCCAGAAGTCAAACCAGGCTAAATAGTTTCTGGTCGAAAGGGACGTCAAATCTCATCTAATCCGCGCAGTGTTAATATCCTTTGTCATCGCTGATATTGTAGGGCTTAATGACTACTGCGCCTTGACGCGCCTGTCATGCAGTGTTTTTCTCCTTGAAGATTGTGCACTCTGATCATTGGTGGGGGACATTTTCTTGCTCTGCCACGTGTCACACAATTGCGGAGATAGTTCCGTATTGTTCCTTGTTTTTGTTTGGGGCTTTGTTTTATTCCCCGGTGCTTCGTTACCACGCGTCGCTTACGCTTGTCCGCGATAATCCATCTCCAGCTTGACAAATATAACTTTCTGCCTTGCAGGTTGTAAAACCAGCCTAGTGAATTATAATTTTTAGAGTTACCTAATAATGGTTTAAGTATATTAGAACTTTTATGTACCACATTAATATCATATTTAGTGTTATGTTACCTTGGTAATTTTTCACTGAAGTTTTGTAAGGGATAATTAAGATTTATTACTTAACACATAACCTTTCACATGACTGATGTCACAAACTGATTTAAATCTAGTGTTTATGATATTATTAACAAATTTAATTGGATAATTATTTCTGTCACAGAAGGTAAACTTCACAATCCATGGATTATATATAATACAATGGATTTTAATCTTTTGGTAAGTCACAAACGGGAAGACCACGCATAAAATTTGTTTAATTAGAGACATCTGACGTTTAGGGCCAAACTCGGTCCGTCTTCAGAGTACATTAACAAGGGCAGAAATATTACGTGCGGTATTATTGGTTCCAAACGTCAGATGTCTCTAATTAAAGAACATTTTATGCGTGTTCTTCCCGTTTGTGACTTGCCAAAGGATTATGTCATCTCTCGCATAAAGAAATCATGCACGATTTTCAATAATGGATTATATATAATTGCGACAGTATCAAAAACTAGCAGTATGTTAGTATATGCTGTATACTAGTAAGCCCGTAAGATCGGGTTTTATTTTTTTTATTAA